GGAGGGTGAGAAGGGAATTATTTTGTGTGTGTGTCTGTGTCATGGGTTTTACTGATTTAACCCACATGCAAGAACACCATAGGAATATGATGAAAAAATACAAATGTTTATTGCAAGAAACAGATTTGTTCGGGGTAATTCGGGTCCAGGGACTGAACGGTAGCATACGGCTCACTGAGGAAACAAGAGGGGAGATGGTGAGTTCAAGGTCGTGGGTAGGCTGAGGACTTGCTGACGGTAAGTTTGAAGACTTACTTGAGTTGTGTTAGCTAATGACGTTGGAGGGGTAAAGTTGGTCCAGGGGTTCCTTGGTCTCTTGAGATTCTCTTTCAGGTTGGTCTGGAGATCGGAGGAAATTACTGAGTGGCAGACTGAGTGAGTAGGAGTGGCGGCATCGGAGGGCGGACAGGTAGGCTGACACTTGAAGGCGGCAGAGGATCGGTGGAATGACCAGTCAGAGCTCAGGGATTGGAGGCAGATAACAACTGATACAGGTGAGTCTGGAGACTCGGGCATCTATGGGGTAGTTTCCTGTGACGTCTCGAGGGAAGGACTGGAACTAGCACCAGGTCCAAAGTCGGGTACTCCTGAGAAAAATAGAGGCAACAAAAGGTATTACTTTCAGATCACTGGGAAAATAAGACATCAAAAACTCAGAGGAAACTCAGAGGGGCTAAGTGGTACCATCACTGGTCAACACTCTGGTGTCGAAGTACCTGTGTTCCACCCTTCTTAAGCAGCAGGTAGCGAGGTGATAGATCTCAGGTGTGAGGATGACATCATGGAAGTAAGGCAGTTTCCCTAACACTCACTAAAGAGTTCCAAAGAACAAAAAGCAATCCAGTCCAGTGTTGATTTCTAAATTACCACTAACAGTAACTCAGTCTAGTGTTGATTTCTGATGTTCAAAACATTACTAGCAGGTGGAATGTTGATTTAGAAATCAACATCTGATGTTGATATTTGTGACATCACTTCCGGGAAGGAGCAACAAGTAGGGTAGGGACTGCAGCATGATTTTAGTGACATAGTGAGTGTAAAATATTGAATAAAATGTTGTGCTACACGACTGGCTTTATTTTCACTCTTATATTTAACTTTATGAAACACAAAACTACAAATGAATTGTCCTTATTGTCTCCAGGTGCATTCTGGGTAAAGCTTGTCACCAACGTCATCATCAGTTACTTGGCAACAAAATGGCAAACTAGCTAGAGCATTTCTACGGATTACGTTAACATGTTTTGAATTTGTGTTGTTTCATCATTAGTGACCAGTAGCCTGATGTTTCTGTTCTTCTCTTGGTTTCAAAATGACATAGTCGCTCTCTGTGGTGATGAAACTTGTTAGCTTCGCTGTTGCGGGCATGTCCATGTTGTAAAGTTAAATTATCATGAGCTTTATTATTTGGGCCCGGTCATTAGCCCCGCCCCCCGCTACTGCGTCACATGTTTGCCTGAGGAGCGGAGGCAGCATTATGATGTCTTGTCTGGAGCTTATATAACAAG